TATTACCACCTAAGTGAATGCAATTGATTCGAACTCAGTTCTCCGATTACTCAATGCGAGCCGTTATCCATTACTCCACTGTGCCTGCTAGTTATATAATATCATTTGAAATAGATTGTGATTTATATAGTTTTGAAAAGAGGAATAGAAAATTATAATTTTGAATCGCATTATTACGATTCTCTGAAGAATCACACTCTTCACTCTGGGACAGTTAGATAGACAAGCTAACCACATTAAACAGCAACCAGCTAGAAAAGATAACGTGAAGAATTTTTTAAAAACTGAACGCGATTCTATCCTCTCTTAAAAAAAAATACTTTCGGATTGATTGTACAAGAGTCGCGCACTTTAGACTTGATTTGTTCAGCCTAAATCCGATATTTCTTCATTACCTCCAAAAATGTCGATTTTATCTCAATTTACCCCAATCTGCTGATTACAACATACTACACTCTTCTACAGCCGGACATAACTTTCGTGAAAGAAACTAAAAAAAACAAAATGGAAATTTTGCAATCTAGGATCGGTTCAGTGGAAAGTACTTAAAGCAAAAGATGAAAAAGGGAAAATTCGCGAATAAAAGGCAATTATTCGATTCATGTTTTCATTTTTGATAATTTTATAATCGTCTTAACAATTCTCATTGAATCGATTAATATTCTCTCATCTTTCTTGCTGTTAATAGGCAATAATTTCGTCAATGATATATTGAGCTGTGTTCCAATAAAATCCTTTTATAATAAAGGAAAAAATAAACAAGCGGAATTCTGTTTTTCCTCGTGTTAATCCAATTAGTAATCTGAAAGTTTCTTTGAGATGTTAATATAAATAATAGTATCATAGAGACGTCATCAAACTGGCACTTAAAAAAGCGAGATGTAAACATTACGTGCGAGGAGATACTTAAAAGTTCTCGAACAACATATTACCAAACATCAAATTTAGGAGAGAAAAGCTTCTTGGTCAGGTCAAGACATTTCCAGCATTCCGTCACACATACACACATATATATATTATAATTCTTTTTAAATATGATTCCATCGCGACAAAGAAATTACTAAGTATCGAAACTGACCCAAGTCATAAAGTTTTATTTCAATATTAAACTTAAAATTTGGAGCACGGTTTCATTCTCAAGCGATGTTTAAAAATACTGAAATTTCAGTCACGCAATGGAGTCATATAAAAAAAAAATTATAATTTTAAGCTCTACTTCTGTATCGAGCACTGTTTTTTTTTAAATAAAATCATAAATACTAAAGAACTTTTGATCATTAATATAACTGTTCTTTCTTATTACATCAATACACACACACACGTATATATATATATATATATATATATATATATATTAATCATTTCAACCCAGGTAACGCAATAAAGCCACTAAGACGCAAGAGTGGTTACTAAGTGATAGTGAGTATGTGAAAAGAAGAAAAATACCATTAACAAAGGAGAATAATAAAAGGACTAGAATTAAGAAGACAACGAGTGACATTACATCTAAATTTTTGAAGGTCAAAGTTTACTGGGAATGTAGAATCCAGAAAAGAGTTCCACAAGCGAGAAGTGTGATAGAAAAAAACCGGTAGCATAGTACTTACGGTTACATCCCGCTATTTCAACTGCAAAATGATGAGACCTTACCGCCAATCTAGTACTGCGCTTAAATTCATAAAGTTTGGGTACCATAGGGGAAGTTCGTCAGAACAAATACCACGAAAGAATTTATAGAAAAGGCAGAGGGAAGCTATATTACTGCTGTAGGAAGGTGACTAAAGGCGAGATGCCAGGTCAGGACCAGTAACATTGTAGATATTCTTCTTTTAAAAATCTCTAAACATATAACAGAAGCAACGTAACATATGTGGTAGCAATATTCAATACATGGACGAATGGTAGACTTATAAATCTGCAAGATAGATTCTAGAAAGAAAAAACGTCGAGCACAACATAGTGAACGAACTTTCCTCGCAGTAAATCTAACAATTGATTGAATATGATCTTTCTACTTCATGTCAGCTGAAACGAAACGAATGACTCTCCTGGGGGTTAGCATCAGTCATAGTGATGGAAGGCAGAAAAGGCTCTCTCAGATGATTGATAGAGAGCAGTTTCATTTTGGAAGCGTTAAAATTAGCAAGTCATTCCTTACCTCAGTTAACAATAGTTTGTAGATCATTCTAGAGATCATAGAGAGATTTGGCCCTATCGAACCGATCAGACTTACTACTAAGACAGAAAGATACATACATATATATATATATATATATATATATATATATATATATATATATATATATATATATAATAGAAAATTAAAGAATCCGTTGGTATATAATCCAAGTGGATCCTAGTAATATAAAATATTAAAACTGATCCACAAACAGAGCTCAATATATTTATTACTACAGATCAAATAATTAATAAACAATAAAATCCCAAATCACATCATATAGGAATAGCCTATTTTAGATGAAAATACCGTATATTTTATCATATATATATATATATATATATATATATATATATATATATATATATATATATAATAAGGTATATTTTAGATGATTGCGTTTAGCATGAAACCAGTTTTGTGTGTGTGTGTGTGTGTGTGTGTGTGTGTGTGTGTGTGTGTGTGTGTGGTAATGATTAAAAATGTCTTCAAATGAACTGATCATTTTCGTCTTAAAGAAGACCGTCCTTCATCGGACCCCATAGATAGGACAAATAACAAAAAAAGATCTCTTCCAACAGAAGCAACAATAAAAATAAGTAATGCGTATAACTAGAAGAGAAAATAATGATTATTTCTTTTTACTTTTGTTCACAGAAAAGCCCAAGAGCCACTCAATGCAAAGGGTTACTGAATGAGGAAACGGGAATGGAGGAATCGGGAAATGTATGTTATGGGATTATGTAGGATATAATACGATTAACTCTAGACTTGAAGAGATTAAGTTTGTAGTTGTCAGAGAAGCATCTTCTCGTGAATCTGTTCCGCAGGTCTGGAAAAGAAGACGAGTGGAACTTACCCCTTACCAAAGTAATGGGTAAGGGAATGGGGATGACGGATCCTTGTTGTAAAGGTCATCTTGGTCGGTTTGATAACTCTACAGAGGAATGTAACGGCGATTAGAACTGTCCTTCGCTTACTGGTAATCTTTCTGATGACAATCGACAATCCTTTAGCAAATAATCTAAAAATCTACAGATTAACTCTAATCCTCGTATATCTTTTAAGGTGTCTTAAATATACCCAACTTTAAGGTGATTTGCCGAGAGCAACAGTCAGCAAATCAGGCTCGTAGACCATTTCTAGCATCGTGAGTTGTCTTCATCGAGTAATCAGTAATTGTCTTATGCCACAGTAAATTACCTTATTTTTACCTTAAATTTAATTTTACGTACAAGTTGATTTATATCGCCACCTTTCTCTTTATTTCCTATTAATGTTTTATGTCATTTAGAAACGGGAAATTTTCGTTAGAAACAAAGAAAAGGCTACTGAACAGTTATGACATTTCAATTCTCCTTTATAACAGTGAATGTTGAACACAGATGAAGAGAGGAATTAAGTCAACAAAGATGCGGTTCTACAGAAGTATGTTAAGAATATCATGGACGGAGTAATGTAATCAATAAGGAAGTTATAAAGAAAATGGAAACCGAAAAGAGAGAAAGAGAAAGTTAAAATGTCTGCTACACATAATGAGGAAAGATGGCTTGTAGAGTATGACACTCACTAGACCTATTGAAGCAAGAGGGACAAAGAGAAACAGCAAATAAACTACCTAATGAACTTTTGTAAATTGATGACAGGATAAGAGACTGGGTGGGATAGTAAGGAGACAAACATTGTTTAGAAAATTAGGACGTTGTGGAGAACCATGATCGCCTACGTACTGAATGGAAACGGCACATGAAGAATAAAGTGACAGTCAACTCTAATGGGTTTGAAGTTTAACACCTTAAACTAATCTAGGTTTAAGAAATCTTATTAAAAAAAACTGTCATTAAAAATGTATTTCAAAAAATCAAGTATGTTTATAAAACTTACACATAAAAAGTATATATGTTTATGTGAATGCATATGCGTCTGTGTTTAAACTTGTTATTTTTCTGTTTTTTTTTTATTTTATTGTATAATTTTCTTTTTTACAATTACTCAAGTGCATTCTTGTTTCAGCAAACTCACTATTTAAATTCTACATTCATGCGCTTGTGCTGAAGGGTGTTTTAAATATTATTTTATATCAGGTGCTTCACTCTGTTGCTCATCAGATAAAATTATTCATGAGTAATAAACAAAACACATTTCTAAAAGTTACTCTGGAAAAATAAAACGCCTCTTTATTTTTATTCGTGAAACGTTTATCTCAAATATCATATTAACTTTCTTTTAAAATCAACCCAAAAATGGCGTTTCTTGTGGACTTAACAAAAACATAAGCAAAATTGATGATACAAGTTTTAAAATGTGTCAGCTAATAAACGGCTGTCGAACGAACCATTTATGTTGTGTGTGTATTGTGTGTGTGTGTTGTGTGTGTGTTTGTGTGTGTGTGTTTTTAATGAGTTAAATGAACGCGGTTGTCAATAATTAATGAGTGAGATGTTAAGTTTTAAAAATGTTTTAAAAACTGAGCCGACGACACGTAGATTTTAAATTACTTCTCAAATCTGCCTTTGAAGACACTAATGTAATCGCAAAGATTTATAAAAACAAATTTTACCTACCTGCTAAAATTATCCATGCGTAACCTCTGTCCACCGGCACATTTCGGTCAATAATTTCCTCATCTAATCCTACTACGGGTTCTTCCCCATCAGAGTCTTCTGAATTAGTCACTGCTTTCTTCCCTGGCATTTTCATATTTTGCAATAATCGAAGAATATTATACTAAAAAGTATGAAAAAATGCAAAGTGTGAAACTCGGACTCCAGATAGCAATTATAAAAACGTTTTATCACAGCAAATCTTTCAACAAGGCGGAATGATCTTAATGATGTTATCCGTAAAATAGGAAAAAATAAATCAAGTGTCTTCTTTACGCTTCTTCGGAAGTTAAACTTTGAACTTCTTGTGAAGTTGAGTATATATATATATTTTTTTTTTAAGATAAAATCCATGCAATATTGGAATTGGGAAATGTACGAAATCCTCAAAAATATAGATGTTATGGACCTTACGGGTTTTTAATTGGACATTGTTAAGAGAAAAACAGTTTTACAGATGAGCTTTTAGGAGAAGAAATCAGGTTTTACTCTTAACGATTTTTGCTAATGAATTTTTTTGTTTTTTCTCGTCATATACTTTTTTTTTAATTTTCTTCTTATTTCTTTTTCTTCTGGGTCTTCTGAAGCTTAATTCTGCTTAAATATTTAAAATCCAAACTCAAACTTTCGTCCAGTTGCTTAATCCAAATCTTTCTTTCTTTCTTTTTAATTTTCCCAAATTTAATTTGGAATTATTCGCCGCTTCGAGTTCAGGTTTCATTTTTGTTGTTCAGCAAGTAACCAAAAACATTACCACCACAACTATCTTCTCATAATACTTTGACGACGACAACTAAAATTACTTCTCAGTGTGCAAGTTTTACTATAATTATCATTACTGTCACAACTACTACTGCTGTAAATACTATTACTCCTGGTGAGATGATTAGAACGAAAACAAATCCTAGTCACTCCGATCATCTCGACACAAATTACAACTATTATGAAAGTCACTACAGCAGCTATGATGACCACACTTACTACTAATACTACTACTATTATTATTATTATTGGTAGTTAAAAGTTTGACTTCACACAAATTACTAAAGACTTCTTAGGCAATAGGAATTTATCAAAATGCCAATTTTCGTGCTTTATTTTTCAACGATTCAATCATTTTCTTTTCGTTTCCTGTATTTTTTTACAGTAAGGTTCACCTTGTACAAGGCCCGGGCGGGAATTCGAGGTAGAGGGTTACGTTAAGTTTATATAGGTAGAAAGGAAAGTTTGACTCTAAAATTGAATAGGTTAAGATTGTAGTGATCAGAGAAACATCCTCTTGGGAGTTTGTTCCACAAGGCAGTGTTTCCAGGTATACAGGTAATTGAATGGGACTTTCTTTCCACCGATGGAATACGGAAGGAATATGGGTAGACTGCTACTATATAAGTGGCATGGCGGGCCCTAGCCGTGCAAGTCAGACCTGATGGAACCAGGAGATACAGTTCATCCGAGCACTTTCTATGGTAGTAACGATAGCGTAGTGAGAGACTCGCCTCATCCCACCTGTGAGAGAGATTTTGGAATGTGGAAAATAATGTTTCTTCAACAAGAACTTGGCGACGCTTTTGGACTCAAGGCTGACAAGTGAAGTCTGGGTAGTTCCCGCCTAAATATGGCAGCAGGACTCTTTTCGGTTTGATCTGGCTCTTATAAACGTAGAGGATAGCATGGGGAGTCAGCTACTTACTGTTGCTTTTATTTTATCTTTTTCTCCTCGTTTCGTTTCCTTTTCTTTCTTTTTTTTTTTTTTTGTCCTTCGATAAGCCTTTTCTTTATATCAAGTCCAACGCACTCTCCCAATTTCTCCTCTTCCTCAACTCACTTTCGTTTCATTCATATTTCCTTTATCCAACCATATTTTCCATTCGTAATCCTTCTGTATATAATTTTCTTTTTTCTCTTTCTTTTTTCTTCATTCTTTTTTTATATCACTTTCTGTCATCTTTATTCCAGTCTCAAAACGGTTTCCTCTCATTCCTCTTCTTCTTCTTCTTCTTCTTCTTCTTCTTCTTCTCACTCTCTTTAATTCTTTTTCACTATCAATCTTTCCACCGGTTCCCGTACAGTCACCAATGTTTTTCTTCTTTATGTACCATGTCCCCTCAAAACATCGGCGATCATAGCCCTCCACAACTTCTTCTCCTTTATAGCGTTTAATAAATTTTATCTTTTTGTTATATCTCCAAAACCTTGTTCCGCTATCCATTAATTCAAGATCAACAAGTAGGTTATGCGTTGTTTTCCTATGTTCTTCTTGTCTTCAACCTGTCCTTTTAAGTATCAGAATTTCAAACCTTCAGCAACGTCGAAACTGGTCAGTACCTAGATGGGTGACCGCTTGAAAATACCTGGTGCTGTAACTTTAAATGTGCTGTGGTGTAATGGATAAGGGGTCGAAATACCTAATCGGAGAGCCGAGTTCCAATTTCCGTTGGGTTCGTTAAATTCACTTGCTCGCAAATCCCCTTGCAAAAGATATGAATCCACCTCTTCTCACCCCAGCTATGGGTTAATTAATTCTATCACTAAACTATTATTGTCTCCAAATAATTCTTACACTCTGAAAATATTAAATAAGCTGCAAAGGGTTGATAAACCGTAGAAAACGAACCAATCAATCAATCTTTCGCTCTTTATACTTGTCTTTCTTGCTTTTGATTAATTTTCTTACTGTTTCTATCTATATATCCCTCTCTCCTTTCCTCTATTTTCCTTCACTTTTTCAGGCATTACTTTCTCTCTTTGTTATCTTTCTTATGCCCTCTCTTCCTCCTCCTCCTCCTCCTCCTCTTGACTGTAAACGATTTCTTGTCTCTGTTCACTCAACTCTCTCAATTTAGTCTTTCTCTCCATTTCCGTAATTCCCCTTATACAGGCTCTTTCTTTTAATCTCTCTGTTATATATCTCTCCTCCCCTTCTCTCTCCCTCTCCCCTCTCTCTCTCTCTCTCTCTCTCTCTCTCTCTCTCTCTCTCTCTCTCGTTAGCTTAA